CAGTGTTCTGGTCACAACCTGGCTATTAACTTTGTAGTTGACAAGTACAGCATGTTTAATAACTGAATTATTGTGCTCCCTTTCCAAATTAGATTAGTCATGTTGTAATCAATTGAATTTAGACTAGGCACTGCAAATTTATCCTATTGGATTCTAATAATTTTGATTCTAATTTTAGCTCATATCTAACCCAATGCCATTTAAAAATGTTGGACCATTAATTTTATTATTTTTATATGTTTAATACTATCTCGGTTGATTTATTATTATTGAATAGATGTGCTAAATAGAAATCATACACAACTATTATTTCTTTTTTACTTTAAATATTCAATAAACCAAGTGATATTTTTGGTGTAAAATGTACATATACTTGTGTACATTTATCACATAATAGGTTGTTCTCACCTGCAGATAACAAAGCCATGGATGTTTATGAAAGGGGAATTAAAGGGTGGGATTTTAGTGTCTTGGAAAAATGATGAAAAAAACCAACAAAAATCTTTTTAGAAAAGTCAGAGAAGAGTGCTCAGATGAATCATTCTCTTCTCTTGGTTAGCTAAAAAAATGGATTTTTTTTCTTATTCCATTTTAGGATACATGGGTTTTGTGCTGATTACAGGAGTTTGAGTTTGTTAATAGGTGTAATGCATATAAGAATATTACATTTTTATTCTATTTATTAACCATGTTAAAATGATAATTCATATATGTTAAAAGGCTTTAGGCTTAAATTTTAAGGTTTCTAATATATTAGTTTTATATTTAAATAACTGTATATGTTTTAAGATGTATATATATAGTATTATTACCTTTAATGTTCCTGAAATGCTCAGGAGATTTATTCAATAAAGCCCTTGCTTTCTTGCATTGTTCCTGGCATCAGAAAAGTGAAATTATCCATGGTAGCCTTGAAAGCTATAATGAGCACATTTTTCTTGTTATTGATGAAGGAATGGGATGACATTTACCTCTTGTATTGATGAAGCAAGGGTATAACATCTGCTTCCAGAACAGAAAATTACCACATTTAAAATTTGCTGGGGCCTGTAATTTTAGAATCAATCAGCTGCTGGAATTCCTAGGAATATATGTCTGCTGATTTATGATCCCCTGAGAAAATTGACATTGTTGACGCTGTACTGTTCTTGAATCTGTGAAACCACACCTACTGACTTGCAAATCATGCTTAACACTTTCTATCACAAACACTTATAGAGCTGCAGAAATTTTTCATAGATTGCTGGTCCACTTAGTGATATATTTATCTGGATTTCTGTTAACATACTAGGAGCCTTTTTCATTTGTTGAAATGGGAATTGTGTGGATAGAATATCCCAGTGAAACTAACATGCCAGAAACCATAGTTATAGCTTCACTTTTTTATACAATAGATATTAGATCCATGCTTTAACATTATGCACTAAATAATCCTTCCAATTTTGCAAGGATAAAGTTTTATGGAAACATTCATTTTCTGCTGTGCACTAAAGAATGCTACAGATCATTTGGAAATTTCTGTTGTATGCTTGCTCAATTTTAAGAAACTATCATGCCAGATTACTCTCTGTAGTTAAAATTCAGAGAGCTCTGGGATCACTAAGGGATCCCTGTGCCACACAGAATTCTGGGATCATGATCCCTCATTATGATGGATCGGTATTTCTGTTCCACTGCAAAATGGAGAATTGCTTGGATCATCATACAAAAAAACATGCATATGAATAACAAAATGTTCTCTACAGATCTGCTTTCTGGGAATTGCACACTTTTTTATATTTTAATATCACAAGCACTATTAGTTCAAGAAATCAGATTTTTTTAAACAAGCATTGTGTTTTAAAAGATGCATGTTACATAATATATTGGAGGTACCACTGCTTGAATTTTGTCATATATTGAACATATTTGTAGTATTCTCAAAATAGAAAAATAAACCTTAATTAGGCTATAAAGTATGATTTATTGTGAGAATTTATTGTGTTTGATAGTTTAACCTACCATATGTCTTACATTAATACTATATGTAGAATGGAAATGTTTCTTTCTTGAAAACTACACCGAAAGCTTTATAATCCCTTGTAGAATAAATGGAGTTGACACCAGGGCTTTCATTTCAAGATTGGATGAAGTCAGAGCCAGAAAAATGAATATGTCACTGTAGTTTTTAATGACAATTAATAGCTTCTTCAATTCTTTTATAGCAGTTCTTTTCCAATTTGCTATGTACACGTGCTACTCACCATGCCTAACCACCTGCTTCTTTTCATAGACAGTGTAGCTAATGGTCATCAACTGAATTACTTTGTTCGGCAAGGGAAACTTATATTAAATGAGTTGGGGCTTTTGTAAAAATGAAAACAAATAAGGACGCCCCTCCCCCCGCTGCAAAATAGAAATCTGTCCATCATCTCATTTATTTCTATATCCTATAGGAAAATGGAGAATATGTCATACAGTATTCTCATTGGATAAATGTTATTATTTGTCATATAAAGCTGTTGCAATGACAAAAGCAAATGCTAACTAGAAAGGGAGAAATGGTTTCTTTTGTAAATAGATTATTATATTTTCTATAATTATGTTAAACCATACATAATTGTGTGGCACATATTTTGCACAAATGATTTCTAGATACACTAACTATAAAACAGTATTGAGTGTACAGTATTTTAAAGCATAATGCAAACCTGTTTTCTAGTCTCTACTGGAGTGCTATGTGATAAAGAAAATCCATTATCTTTGCATAACTAGTGTAGTGATCTAAAGTATCCAATGCAATCAGTTAATATATAGCCAACTAAAATAAGATAAAATTATATTTCAGTATCACTCATATAAGCTACCCCAATGAGTCCCACATATGCCAATCTTAGCCAAACGATTTTATTCAAGTACTGTGCTGTGTTAAATATTGTTTTCAGAGTCTGGCTGGACATAAAATATGTTGTTTTAATATGGGGTTCCCAATGGGTCATTTATTTAATATATGAATCAAGGTACCTGCCTCTCACTCTCTTATACAAACAACAATCAAATAGTATGTGAGCTAAGTCTTCTACCTCTACTGATCCATAAATGCAGATATGTCCATCATATGGTAAAAAAATGTAACCTCTCATATCTGACCATTTTACCAAACTGTTTGAATCTCGCTCACATAAATATCTCCCTAAGATGTTTTGGCAATTGTAACTTTAAATAGCCATGTGTCTGAAAAGTATGTTTATATTTACTCAGCCATTTCAAATTACCAACCTTACTAAGAATGCCTATATCATTTTGTGTTTCTATGTCAATGATTCTTTCAGCAGTTCTTTTTTTAACCTGTTCTCTTGTTGCATAAGAGATAGGAAGGCCAAGAATTATATACTGTATAATAGTTCTACTTTGATGGTTTTGTTACTTATTCCTAATGAAGTGATAGTTAACAGAAACTGTTAAGTATCCATGATATTTTCAAGACAGACTTCCACTTGTGTTTAAAATCTTTCCTGTAGTTGGTGGAAAAAATGATATTTGAAATGTAGACAAAGACTGAAATTCCACATTAGAACTAGTAGAACAAAAATTCCTAATGGATGGCATTGGCAATAAATAGTTTAAATGAAAATCTCAATACACAATGGATATTAGCTGTGAGAGACTTTCATCAAATTATTCATATTCCTGAAATTCTTTGTGGATCAAAGGTTCATAAGAAAGAAATTGCCAATTAAAATGCCATTAGCACAACACTACATTGTAAATATGTAATATTACCATGTTTGGAATATTAAACACACGTTAGACCTTAATTAGAATGGGAAAAATGCAGAAAACAAAATCATAATGATCAAGAATGAAGAGCAATTCCTCTATAATAATAATTAATGTATATGTTGCCCAACTCCCCGTAAATATGCTTTTTATCTTAGAAATAAAACCAAATAGATCTATACGTCAGATATTTTTATTACATAAAACTAAAATCACTGGATCATCCAATGGTGGAAACTTCAGAAAGATAAAAGAAGGCACTTTTTCATGCAACAGAGTTTACCCATAAAATTCATTGCAAGGTACTCACTATCTTGGATAGCTTTACTAGGGGGAGTGAAAAAAGCTACTTGGAGAAATGATTTGTGAAATGTTGGTTGCGATGTCTTGTTGATCCAGATTATACTGATCATGAATTCTGTAAGTAATGAAATAAACACTGTAAATTAAGTTTACCTTTTGTTATTAAATGATTTTAAAGACCGGGATTATGGAGGACAGACCTATTAATGGCAATTAGCTAGAATATTCAAATGTATTACAGACAGTATCACAGATACAACCCATATTATTCTAAGTATCACTTGGTAAGGAAATGTATATGGCAAGGTTCTTTTGTATTTGTATCTTTTCTGGACTTCCCATAAACGTCTAGGTGGCCCCTGTAACAGAATTCTAAACTAGGTAGTTTTTGGTTTGATCCATGGAATTTAAAACTAGCTGAAATATAGCCACTTTAAAAATTATGGGCCCATTGTTTCATCTGAAATTCAGCATACTAGAATTTTATTATGGTAGTTTCTATGAAAAAACAAGAGTCTTATACAATTGCAACTTTTTTGTATAAGACTTTTATGTAAGACTCAATTAAAAAACAGTTTGCTTTTTAATTTCTCTTAAGCCTTCCACCAACTGTGATGTTATTTTACTTGCTAAATGTTATTTGTGTATTATGAAAAGAGTTAAAAAGCAAACTATATGTGGTGGATGACTGTACTTGAACAAGTTAGTTTTAAATCAGTGAGACCAACTCTCTCAACACCCAGTTTTTAATAGAACCATAGGGGGAAAGAAACTCTTTTATCTATGTGCAAAATTACCATATATCTAGTTGTGGGGTTCAGCTGGTTCACACCGGTTCGGGAGAACCGATACCTAATTTTTTGTTGAGTTCGGTGAATCAGTTATGATAAATCTGTGTTTTCTGGAACATGTCTGGTTTTTGTTCAACTTCCTTCCAGGCAGGAAGAAAAAAACCCTTCCCAAAAGCCCAAGAGAGAAGTGACGGAAACCAAATGGAGATGTGGCGCCTTCGATCGTGTTACTCAGGCGAAACTAGGCAATACTTCTCAGAGGTAATTTGAAGAATAGACGTTTCATCTCTCTAGTTTCCCAATTGGTGCATATGGGAAAGGGGATGAGGCTCTGGACCTTTTTCCTGTCTAGCTATACAGAGTGCAACTAATGATGAGGGGGAAAGCTCTTAAAGGGTTCTGTGATTTCTTACATTAAACGCTAATGCAGTTCTTTGTAGCAGCAGGGGCTTTCCTATTTTATACCAAGTCTATGAAATACATTTAAAATAGCAGAATTTCAATTTCATATATCAAACCTTAGTTTAGTGTTTTAACATAATAAGCACTGTTTAAGTGACAGGTGCTATTTCAGACGGCAAATAGCAGTTCAGTGGTAACAACCTGTGACTTCATCTAGCAAATGCTTATTTAGTTAAGCAATTTTATCATTTTATGGAGTAAGCTGTTATAAGTAGCAGAAATTTCATGAGTTGTTATTCCAGAAACATTGGTTTTAGCCTAGAGATATGTGATTGCATATACTAAACACTGATTTAATCAGAGATAACTCCTATACAAGTAGTCCTCAACTTACAACTGTTCATTTAGTGACTGGCATTGAAAAAAGTAACTTATTGCTCGTATTTAATGGCATTTTAATTACCAAATTGATATTAATGATTATCAAGATTTCGTGGGAAATGTTTTAAAAAATTCCCAGAACTATGCAATTCCCGAAAGTGTTCAAAAAGCTAAAAATATTGTCAGAACAATTGCTGTAAGTTCAACAGAAGCAGAAAGGGTTTTTTCAAAGATGAACATAATATGTTCAGACAAGAGAAATCACCTAACTGATTCTAATATATAAAATACAATAACTATTAGTCTAATCAGCCTACCTCTAAAGGAATGGGATCCTACTACTTCAGTGAAAAGATGGTTAAGGATAAAGCACACAGCCGATGATGCTCAGATAAAAGTGAAGAAAATTGCAAGTGAGGCCGCCAATCAAGAAGCAATATGGAAATATCTTAAATAACAGTTTTATTTTTTTTGTCATGTATTATTTAATATTTTTCATTAATATTTTAAAACCCTTTTTCTATAACATAATCTACCTCTTTTATTCTTATATAAGTATTACATGCATGAAATAATAAACTACCTTTTGATATATCATTTTTTTATGCTTAAAGCAGTCATTGGGGCAGAGAACCAGTTGTTAAATTATTTGAATCCCACCACTGCTTATATTCTCAGTAAATCTGAATTGTGTGCTTTTGGAATTATTTTGTCTTCTGGTTTTGTGTTTTTCTTATTAGGCCAAATGGAAACTAATTGGATGCAAGTAATTTATCCACCTTTCCACAGGCATTTTCTTTTTCAGCCATTCTTCTCATTAAGGACTTTTGTCCTGTCCTAATGTAACAATCGTACATGAAGAAAAAATCAAGACAGTCTGTTTATTTCTCTTATTGAATACAACTCTTGATGGTATAGGCTTAGTGTACTTAAATGGCACTATTTTAGAGTGACTGGATATGTCCCTCTAGCCTTTTTCCAGTTAAAAAGATTTTACTAACAGTACTAATAGTACCTATTGTAAACTCTAACCGTTAAGATGATAACATCAGCAATTTTGGTACATGTGCTATCTTGTTTAATCTTCTGTTTTAAAAAAATGGCACATGACAATTTTAGATAAACAAGATTTTCTTGTTTTGATATTTTAGAGAAGGATAGTATTTCATTATAGTTGAATTTTAAGTAGGCTGAGGGCTTTTTACAATGGAGATGTATACCTGTCATGAAGCCATTGTTTGATCATCTTGTAATAAGCATAACACTTAAGAATTACTTTGCATTACAAATATGAAATATTATTTTTGTCATGATGATGATAAAAATAATAATAATAACAACAACAACAATAATAGTAGTAGTAATTGGTGCCTTGAGTGCAATCCCAAAACAACTGGAGCACCACCTGAACATATTGGCATTGACAAATTCGCTATTAGTCAATTGCAAAAGGTGGCCTTACTAGGAACTGCTTCCATCCTGCGATGATATCTATAATACCATCAAACATCCACATCTGCCTATCCCAGGTCCTGGGTAAGGACTCGATAGGTAGACAAAATGCCAAATCTAGTCTGAACATCTGGCTGACTATGAGATGATCCATAATAATAATAATAAAGTTGGAAGGGACCTTGGAAATCTTCTAGTCCAACTTTCTGCTCAGGCAGGGAACCCTATACCATTTCAGACAAATGGCTGTCCAGTCTCTTCTTAAAAACTTCCAGTGTTGGAGCATTCACAACTTCTGGAGGCAGGTTGTTCCACTGATTAATTGTTCTAACTGTCAGGAAGTTTCTCCTTAGTTCTAGGTTGCTTCTTTCCTTGCTTAGTTTTCATCCATTGCTTCTTGTCCTACCTTTAGGTGCTTTGGAGAATAGCTTGACTCCCTCTTCTTTGTGGCAACCCCTGAAATATTGGAACACTGCTAACATGTCCCCTCTCATCCTTCTCTTCATTAAACTAGACATACCAAATTCTAGCAATTCTATATGTTTTAGACCAGGGGTCCCCAACCTGCAGTCCCTAGATCGGTACCAGGCCACAGCATGCCAGAAACCGGTCTGCACAAAGAAGCAAAGCCCCATCCACAAGATGTAGGCAGCACACAAAACCACGCATCCTCCGGTCCATGGAAAATCCTCTCTCCACAGAACTGGTCCCTGGTGCCCAAAAGGTTGGGAACCTCTGTTTTAAACTCCAGTCCGCTGATCATCTTTGTTGCTCTTCTCTGTATTCTTTCTAGAGTCTCAACGTCTTTTTTGTATCATGGTGACCAAAACTGGATGCAGTATTCCAAGTGTGACCTTAATGCAGCCTAGCACTATGTTAGCTTTTTTGGCAGCTGCAGCACACTGCTGGTTCATTTTTAAGTGATTGTCCACTAGGACACCAAGATCCCTCTCACAATTACTACTATTGAGCAAGGTACCACCTATACTGTACTTGTGCATTTAGTTTTTCTTGCTTTTTCTTACTTTTTTCACCATTGAATTTCATTTTGTTAGATAGAAAATAGTGAGGCTAGCTTATTTCTAGTCCTTGTTTCACAATTGGAAGTTATTATTTGTTACTCCTCTCTAAAAATGATAAAATTGCAAATGTAAACTAAATGTGAACCTGATTTTCTAGGATAATTTTTTAGAATACAAATGAGGAAATTTCACAAAGCAGGTTGAAATATATTTTTGAGCCTTCAAGTCAAAATGACAAGTTTCCCAGACACAGAAATTTAACTTCACATTGCTTTCAGAGAAGTACAACACTGTATTAGCATTTTTGTTTTCCTAAACATGCTGCTTTTCAATAGGGGTCCTCTATAACTTGTGAAGCTGTTGGCATGCTCTGCAAATGTACCCTTTGCTTTGTGTTTAAGGTCATGCCCAGGTACCAGCATCACATTGTGGGAAGATAAAAAATAGATTATCACTTGATGTATCAGTCTTAATTTTAGTTAATGCAGCAGTGAAATAAATTTCCCTGTTCACTAAATGTCTCACTGAAGTTAATGAATGCATATTGTAATTTTATGTTCCTAAACAATTATTGTGCTACTCCTTTATGGAAAGCCTCTTGTGGTATTTTGAAATCACTACTGATTCAGAAATTTAAGGAAATACGTGTGTAGTTTGAAAATACTTAATTAAAGTAGTAATTTAAATTATGCTTTCATCTTTGTTCTTGGCAGGATGAGATTTTCTCTGTACTGTCCATTTAAGGGTTTTCAGTAAAAGCAAGATTTCAAAAGTAATATAATCTACCTGGCAAGTTCCAGAGAAGTGGACACAATATCTGTGGTTTACACAACATAGTAAATATAGTAAACACAACACAAGGCACTGCCAGATACCATAACCAACACAGCATAGGCAGAGAAGTAACACATAGATGCTGTTGGAAGTGATCCAGCCATAGTTAAGCACCATTTTATATCTTGCTTAGTATAGTAAATATAAATATATATTTTCCTATATCTTAACATAATAGAAATTTTGGCTGAATATTTACCCTAATGTATTTTAGTTACTTAAATGTAGACATTTGAGATTCAGATAAACATATATATACAGAATACTTCTATACTGAGATATAAAAGGTATATTAATATGTTTCATCAAGGAATTAGTTTTCACATTAATTTATGACATCACAAAGCAAGTTCCTCTCTTACATACTTCTGTATGTACTGTAAGTATGAATAGGGTGGAATTTGTGTTGCAATGCATACCTTGTCATTTGCTGTCCCTGTGGTTATTAGTTCCCATTGTTTATGTCAGTGGTCCCCAACTTTTATGGCTCCATAGACCAGCGGGGGGGGGGAGGTTAGTGGATGCTTTTGTGCATGCAATCTTTGCCTGCTTGCCAGTTCTAGGCCACAGACCTGGATTTGGGGACTCCTGGTTTATGTGATGTTTTTTCCCCGAAGTTGCAGTAGCTTACATCTGAAAGCAATAATATAGAGCAGTGGTTCTCAACCTGTGGGTCGGGACCCCATTTGGGGTCGAACGACCATTTCACAGGGGTCACCAAACAACGCAGTCCGCCACTTTTCCCCCTTTTCCTTAGCTGTGCTACTCCTTTTTATTCTATTGGCTTTTGAAAGCCAATAGAATAGACTCTCTTGAATAGAGTCTAATTCTATTGGCTTTCCAAAGCCAATAGGAATTGTCCAGGCTGTCTCTGCCCTGCTGAGCCCGCCAAAAGTCCCATTCTGCAAATGCTGCTGCACCAGTTGAGTAGTCCTCGACTTATGACCGGTTGAGTAGTCCTCGACTTATAACCGGTTGGGGGGTCGCGGCATTAAAAAGAGAACCACTGATATAGAGGACTATTTTGAAAACTAGTGCAATATATTGCTTGAGACACTGGACTGGGACAGTTAGATTCAAGTTCTCCCTTGAATAAGGAACTCATTTTGACCAGTCACTGTCTCAGTCCAATTATTGAGGGTGATATAATGAGGAGTTTGTTCAAGTATACTGTTTTGAGATCTTAATGAAAAGTTGAGATATAAATGTGACTATAATAGATTAGAATCAATGCATCTGAGAAGGCTGTATGGAGAAATCTCTTTTAATTGAATAATGTTACTGATTTTACATAGCTTACTGTTTTATGGCTGTCTTGCATATTGTGGGCAACAAAAGCGTATACCGTGAAATAGAAAATTACAGTGGTACATTGGTATTCCTGAAACATGATGTGTTGATCTCCCAAGGGAATTTTTCAACAAAAGGTTTATGTTAATTGGTTCAGTACCGGCATATCTGAACCTGCAAAAAATTAATAATTCTGTGTTCTCTCTCTCTTTCTCTGCTATATATAAATATTAAAAGCGTGCAGCCATGACTTCATATTTCTGTGGCTCCTCTATATATAGTTCTATTGCTGATTTGTTTTCAAATTCCTTCATGTTATAAAAACTAATGATCAAAAGAAGATTAAACATCAAATAACATTGCTTTATAATTCTTTACATTTTCTTTTTCAGCCAGTTTGTTTCTATAATACGAGTCTAGATTTATGTTTTGCATTGTTTTATGGGATATAAGAAGTATTTGCATTTAGACATAGCTAGAATGAGTGCAGTTAATTTTACTTAATTTAAATAATATCAGAATATGCTTCATGCAAGATTTTTCTAGGAGATTATTGGAAGAAATGAGAGTATGATTCCTGCAGGCTGTTCAGTCAACAGTCCTGGCTCTACACAGTTTGTGTAGAGATTGTTGTTATGCTGTATGACTATCAATAATCCCTTCATTTAATAGGTTCTGGGATAAGAAAAATTCAGTATAACAAGCAGTGATACTAATTTTTAAAGAGGCAATCTTTTGTGAATTTTATTCTATGCTTTTAATGGGCTTTGGTTTTCAGAAGTTAATTTTTCATTATGGGAGCTCAGTATGCAGGAACGAATGTTGTATTCTTTGACATATTTATTGCTTGAGTAATTTTATAGGATGGTCTGTTATATTAATATAGCAGTTAAACTCACTGGAATGCTGCAAAGTGGTATAAAATGGTTATAACTTCCTTAACAATTTTAAGCAACTTCAATCAAGCAAAAAGCAAGCTAAAGAATGATCTTCTTTCTATTATTGCTTGTTCTTTCATTTAAGTGTTAAATCTAATAATTTGTAATTAACAGCTTTGTTGTATGCTCTTAGTGCACCTGGGAAAAGAGGGTACTGCTCAAATTCTGGTGCATTGTGAATTTCCTGAATGTAAATCAAAGGCAGTGCCTGCTGCGGATGGCAGCACTGATAGAGAGAAAATGCAGCTCTAATCAAAGCTATTCCCCACCCCTTCTTTCTGTCAGTCCCCTGAGGTTTATTCATTTTTCTCTTTGTTGTTTATCTCCCTCACCAAATTAAAGATGGATGATGAAGTGACCACTGTTCAAATGAGGGAACTAGACCAAGATGTGCTGGTGCTTAGGAGAGTATTGTCACAGAGCCCAGCCCCCACATTGGGGAGTGCCGAGAATGATTGGAGGTAAGAGTTTTTCCTTCAGTCTCAGACTCAGCTAGAGTCACGCTGACGCAGAGCTCTCAGCAGCTGGCTGACTTCGGTTGCTGGCAACCAAAGTGAGAGGGCAGCCTTGAGGGAATGTCATTTTCATTTGCCATACAATATGGGAAGTTCGAGACTGAGGATCTTTGACCCTTACATAGAGAAGAAGGACTCTGCTTTGTTTCCAGGCAGAGAACTGCCTTTGCACACATTTGATGTGCCTTATTTTAAATACATTGATGAAGAAGATGAGGAAGATGAATGGAGCAGCCGTTCTCAGTCTTCAACAGAGGATGACTCTGTGGACTCTCTCCTTTCTGACAGATATGTTGTGGTGTCAGGAACACCAGAGAAGATTTTGGAGCATCTCCTAAATGACCTGCACCTAGAAGAAGCACAGGACAAAGACACAGGTACATTATAATAACATTATGCTCACAAAAAGCATTTTCTCTGTATCCACTCATATTCTTAGCAAACACAGTTGATCAGCTACTATGCAAATATGTATAATATGGTATTTTTCCTACCAGCATTTTACTTAAAATTATTATAATTATACAGTGTTTTGGATAATACTATTTCATATGCATAGCATTCATAGTAACATCTTATTGTGTTAATAAAGTGCATCTATATTTAACAATAAAACAATCAAACTTGAAAATGAAGGCTTTTTAAAAAAATGTTCCATTAACTTTCAGTACCTATATATATCTTGATAGATAAAAGAAAACAATTTATGTGTGATAATGAAGCAATTGGAAGATAGCAAGCTGAGTTATATAGCTGTAGGGTTTATAAGTCAGCAATTATTTAAAGTACTCCAAAGCTACTTTTTTAGTATCAACTGTTTCTTAATTTTTTTTAGCATTAATAGCTTACCCACATCACATAATGTGCAACAGAATAACCTCCTTTAGTAATTGGCTGCCTTCAGCTAGAAATTGTACTTTTGTTTCAGCCTGGAGCAATTACTATATTGATCAGGCTGCTTGATGTGCAGGTTATTTTTCAGCTTGATCTTCTAGCTCTAATGCTGTCACCAACACTCTTTCAGTAGTTTATCAAGACCATCTGCAATTTATTTACAGTTTTAATTAAAGCAGACTTAGCTGTCCTGAAGCATTCCCTATACAGTTGAAGAAGGATTGTGAAATACAGAAAGCTGGAAATGGAATTAATATTTTTATTGTTCTCAGAGGAATGTTGTTTCCCAAATGAGATTATTAAAAATAAACACATTTGGAAGAATTAAAAAGATTAAAGTATAAATAACATTTACAAATTCTTAGGCATTCCTGAGTCAGATTTTCCTACCTGCAAATCAATAGGACATGGTTAGGCATAAGGTATTTGTGTTTTCTGCACTATGTAGGTTTTCTAAATTATAAATAGAAAGAAAGACCTAGCGTTTGATTTATTGTATAGTTCACTGATCTACTTCTCTGTGAATAGGGATTAATACTTTGTGCATGGAAACCATGCCTATGTAATTGCTGTGCTTCCTCAGGCATAATCATAGTAATGTATGTAATTTCTCTAGCATCAAATTGTAGGCTATATAAAAAGTGGTGGTCCATGTCAGGATTGTCTTAGCTAGGCACCATGAATTCCACTATGTTTCTAATAGTTGAATATTTGTATGGAGTGATCTCTCCTATAGACTCCTGTTAGATCTTATTGAACACATTGGACTCCCCAATCATTATGCATTATGGTTGCTTGTTTTTAACATCTGAAAAAAAGTACAGATTAATATTTCTCCAGTAATTCATTCTTACTTTCCTGTTCCCTTTCCCATTTCTCAGACTTATTCCAGTGCTCATTAATACTATGTCATATTTCCAGATTAAGGTGAAAAATAACTATCCAAGCATAACTGGCTGCAATGAAATATATTCAGTGATATATTTCCCTGAACATTTTTGCAAATATCCTTTCCTCTCAAAAGAGTTGACAATGACAGGCTTGTTGTATGATCAATGCAGTCCTAATAACAATAAAAGAACACAATATTTATGTATCAAAATAAATATATAGCTGTTGTGGTTGACCTCAGTATATTTGTAGATGCAAATGTAACAGGTAATGTGTGAAAACTTACATAGCACATTTTGATGATGGTTGCTCTGGAGCAATATCCCATATTAGGTATAGTTTCTTCTAATACAGGTAATCCTTGATTTACAACAGTTCATTTAGTGACCGTTTGAAGTTACGACAACACTGGAAAAAAAAGAGACAACCACTTTTCACACTTACAACTATTGCATGGTCACATTCCTATGGTCACATAATGAAAATTCAGATGCTTGGTAACTGACCCCATATTTATGATGGTTGCAGGATCCCTGGGTCATGTGATTCCCTTTTGCTGACCTTCTGAGAAGCAAAATCAATAAAATACTTCTCCAAACTGTTAAGAAAGGGCCATATTTTTTTTTGCAAGGAACTCTTCTAGTCTTTAGAAGCTGTTTCTGCTTATCAATGTATGTGTAGACACAGTTACAGAGACAGCAAAGATTAATGTGCTTGCAGATATAGCCAAGAACAGTTTTCAAAGCAGCTGTAGCAGTCTTGCAAAAGTTACTAATACTCTACAAAGTACGTTTTTTAAAGGATTAGAGTTACCTGACAAAAAAATCAAAAGCTGCTGAAAGACTCAACATATAAGTGTATTAGGCCAATACGATCAGCTATGTTACTGTGATTTGCAAAACATGATAAAATAATTGAACTCTTTATGTTGAAGCCAAACAAATCATTTTATAACATATAGATAGTCCTCAACTTACAACAGTTCATTTAGTGACCATTCAAAGTTACAACAGCATTGAAAAAAGTGACTTATGACCATTTTTCACACTTACGACCGTTGCAGCATCCCCATGGTCATGTGATTTACATTTGGATGCTTGACAACTGACCTGCATTTATGATGGTTGCAATGTCCCAAGGTCATATGTGATTACCTTTTGTGACTTTCTGACAAGCAAAGTCAACGGGGAAGCCAGATTCACTTAACAACCGTGTTACTAACTTAACATCTGCAGTGATTCACTTAACAACTGTGGCAAGATAGGTGTAAAATGGGGCAAAACTCACTTAACTAATGTCTCACTTAGCAACAGATATTTTGGGCTCAATTGTGATCATAAGTCAAGAACTACCTGTACTTCTAAATAAAGGAAGACCATGAAAAGCATTCTTCATTGGTGCTGTGAATACATCCATTCTAAGACCCTCAATCAATAAAGGATCTCCTAAATATTCTAACATTTGCTAATGAAATACTAACATTTAGGCAGGTTTCAGGTGGATGACAGATCTGAACATGTAAATGACAGCAATAGCATTTATATACCGCCCCATAGAGCTTTACAGCACTCTCTGGGCAGTTTACAATGTATAAGCATTATTTGCATATTGCCCCCAACAACCTTGCTCCTCATTTTACTGACCTTGGAATAATGGAAGGCTGAGTCAACCTTGAAACCCATCAGGCTCAACTCCAGGCTATGGGCAGAGTTTGCTTGCAATACTATACTTTAAATACTGTGCCACCAGGGTTCCTAAATGATGAACTGGATGCAACTGCTGAGACGGTATTAGAAGGCATTCTTCAGGCCCCTTTGGCTATTTATGCTCAGAGAAGTCAGCCATTGTTGTTCCTTTTGGATTAACTGGATTATGCCTACTCTTACATTCATTCTCTTCTTATACTGCATGAGAAAGAAGCTAACTACTGATCACACAAAATGTTATCTGATTATTTCTTGACAGCCGGATGATGTTTTGGAAACATTTTGTCCTTTTTGTTTTACAGTGATTTATTCAATTTGAGCTTTACCTTAGATAGCAAATGAGTGCATACAATATAAAAGATAGTAAACTTAAGACAGAGTTCTACCACCAGTTGGGAGCTTTTTAGACAATATTTAGCTCGGTATTATACTAATATGTTGTATACCTCCAAAAAGAAAAGATTTGTGCAATATTTTACATGCTTTAATTCTATAGGCAAATTCATAGTATTTAATTAGCAAATTGATGACTAAGATATAGAAAGACCATAAAAAGTTAAGATTTATTCACACTTCTAACTCATTTTTAGCTATTTTGATAGATGGTGCTTTTTAAGGCCTTGGGTAAAAGTCATTCATTGTGTGGACTCCGAGGTTTAATTACAGATTTTAGACATTAGAAAATCCAAATAAACTGTCCTTAAGTAATTAAAGTCTACTGTTTCAAATACATGCTTTGAAAAAAATGGAAAGTCTTTGATTCTTGATCTTACGCTATTCCTTGATCACTCTATTTATATGCATGACATTAAATTTATTCACTATAAGAAATAAAAAGGAAGAGGATTAGAGATTGATGTAAACTAGCTGCCACATGAACTTATAGCTGGCTTAAGAAATTGTAGACATCTACTTACCCAAATGGATTCTAAAGCACTTTTTTTGTGTTTGAATCTAAAGCGCTAATGAAAAACCTGTCACTGCTGATTTTAGTTGGAAGAGAAAAGGCTTGAAGTCTTAGATGAAAGGAGCTGAAGGTTTTTTTATAACATTGCTTTGTTTTATCCGATACAACCAATTATAGTACTAGAAGAATAACGTACTGTATGTCATCTTTAATTCAAGGGAATCTTTTTATAATATTTAATACTAAGTAAGTTTCTTACAAGATACAGTAGATTTATCTAAAAATCTTTCAGAAAATTATTTCAGCTTTGAGCTTGATGAATTATATGAGATAAGGCATTTTGTTTAAACCTGTTTTAGCAAACATACAGGACCATGGTCCGTGATTGGTATTACATCCCCACTAAAATTGGTTCTCTAAATAATAATATTTTAAAATGGTTGTAGTGAAGTAGTAGGCAAACTAGTACATAATTTCATTTTTTTTTAGAAATCAGAATAGTGAATTGTATTAGTTTGTTGAACAAATTATATAAATTGATGCCATGTAAAAGAAATTAAATAATTTTCTGTTATTAACTGCTATATTTATTACCACACAAAAAAATCACAAAATCTTTCGCATCAGTGGTAATTGAGAAATTACTTAGACTGAGATATAACACAACAACAAAGAAGTTTGTAGTATCCTATGGGTAGGATAATTCCCTTTGGATGTGGTTACAATCTCCTAGCTATATTGTCAAGGATTTTTCTTATCAATTATTTTTTCTTAATCTGTCCAGGTTAAAGTTTGGGTAAAAAAATATTTGAAAATGGATATTTTAATGTTGGTATTTCTGCTTATTTGTGAACTTGTATTTACTTTTATTTGTGAATGTATATATCACAAATTTCTGGTATTTTTTCCCTTTTGTTTATTTGCATGTTGCCCTTATTATTTTTACAAATAACTGAAGGTGGAGAACATACCTAATACT